GCTAAGCCCCTATCAATCAATCAATCAATCAATCAATGTGTATTCATATAGCCCAATATCACAAATGTTACAGTTGTCTCAGTGGACTTCACAGTTTGTACAGAATATCAGTATGGCAATACGACACCCTCTGTCCTTAGACCCTCACATCGTACAAGGAAAAACTTCCAGAGAGAAACCGTTTAAACAGTTTAAAGGGGAACATGGGAGAAACCTCAGGGAGAGCAACAGAGGAGGGATCCCTCTCCCAGGACGGACAGACGTGCAATAGATGCCGTCAGGGCTGGACTGGGACAGCAAATCGGCCCTGGCATTTAGACCCAGACCGGCCCAAATCCATAAAACAAACGAATAGTAGCGGTTCCTGACAAGAAGAATAACTCAGTATAATTTTAAAAAACGCTATTATTATCCTTTTTACGTACCAGGGGCAAACAAAACTAATACATACCACAAGTATGTGTAACTATCAATCATTAGAAATTAGACCTTCAAACCCTCTCACAAAGCGAACAGTGACCGAGCACTAATAGGGGGGTCTGGGGGGGTATGCCCCCCACAGAAGAAAAGTTTTAAAAATAACCCCTTAAATGATGACTTCTAGTGAATTTAGGGGGGGGGGACCCTATAGTGCCCTGCCTCCCCTTTCTATGACAACACAATAGAGATAGGACCAGATGAGTCTACAGGATGAGTCGACGGCATCTTTTTATATACATTGACGCTTTCATTTAATTTTTCCATCCTTTTTTTAATCGCTGTAATTGTATTGCCTTTTTCATCTGTACACACGACACCTATTGCACGTCTGTCCGTCCTGGGAGAGGGATCCCTCTTCTGTTGCTCTCACAGAGGTTTCTTCCTACTTCCCACTGTTAATTGTGGGGTCTGTTTTGGGGAGTTTTTCCTTGAGCGCTGCAAGGGTCTAAGGACAGAGGATGTCGTACCTGTACACACTGTGAAGCCCTCTGAGACAAATTGTAATTTGTGATATTGGGCTATATAAATAAAATGTGATTGATTGATTGACGCACGCAAGGGGCTATAGTGCAAGTCTTAGGCGGCTGGTTTCTCAGAACCTCACAGAGCACACAGAACTGAAGGAACACAGGCTTAACCAAAAATACTATCCACTGTCTTTATTTTTTTTCCTGAGAATAGGTTTGAAAGAGACAGATTTAAATTTACAAAGAGAGTTGAAGCAACATTTGACAGAAATCCCACATAAATTACAAAAGTACACAACTAGCAAGATATATATACTGTATATATATATACTGTACACACAAAGTAACTTATATACTAGACTGAAATAACTAAAATGAATGCTTGTTGTGGAGAGGGGCACTATGTCCAGCGTCCATTCCTCTGTGTGTGTGTGTGTGTGTGTGTGTGTGTGTGTGTGTGTGTGTGTGTGTGTGTTGTGTGTGTGTGTGTGTGTGTGTGTGTGTGTGTGTGTGTGTGTGTGTGTGTGTGTGTGTGTGTGTGTCTGTCTGTGTGTCTGTGTGTCTGTTTGCATGTGTGAGTGTAGTTGGGGGGCTTTGGGAGAGTCAAAAAGGATGCAGGTGACCTCTTTGGTCCCTGATAGAGGTCCATACAAATAGGCATTGACATAACAATACCACACAGTTAATGGTCAAAACTACATGTGTGCCTACATTTTTTCTTCTATTTCTATATTATTCATTCTATATATTGTCAATCAAAACTACCACAAAAAGCTGACTATAAACATTTTGTTCAGGTCCCAAAAGACCACTGTTGCCCTTATAAACACATAAGTAAATAAACTAAACAAAACAAGCTGCCAGCTGACAGTAATTGTTCATGAATGGTGGTTAACAAAATAATGACATTCTTTCAATGAGACAACGTATCAGAGTCCCATTAAGCTATATTTTAACTTGCCAGGGAAAACCTAAAATAGCCAGCTTACTAGCTTGTAGGCTAACGAATGTTTCTCTAATAATATTTGTCTTATTAGTGCTTCATCAAGGGGATATTAATGGGTTCCAGAACTACAGAGTATCATAACCTTAATAATAATCTTTTCCTAATTTTCTTAGCTTCTGCTTACCGCGAGTTCTCCTCCCTCTCCCCACTCGCGCGGATCTCTCTCCCTCTCATCATCTTCCTCACCACCACCAATATCGGCCACGGGTGCTGAATATGGACCTGCACCTGTACTAAACATGTCGGTTATTTTGACACAAGCGGCAACATCAGCACGAAGGGCCTGCTTTTTTCTTGCCCGCAATTTTTCTGCTCCCCCTTTTCGCTTGGCCTTCGTCTTCGCCTTCGCCTTCTCCATTTCTAACTCGAACTTTTTTTTTTCTCGAAAAAAAAGGCGATTTGGCTTCAACGGCCGGCTCACCTCCTGGGGGCGTGATTTAATGATGCACACCGAGCGGCCCAAAGGGGGAGGTGATTAAAGATTTGATTGGGCCGGCCCAGTGTCAATTACTAAAAACATTTAAACAGAGGGCCAATCTAACCGTCTTATGGGCCGGGACTTCAGAAAAAAAAAAAAAATGACGTGTCGGCCCAAAAGGCACGTCGGCCCACCGGGAAAATGCCCGGTATGCCAGATGGCCAGTCCAGCCCTGGATGCCGTGTGTAAATTGAAAAGATAATACATTTACAACATAGGTAGTCCAAATGTTTGGAAATGCGTGTGTCTATAATAGGAAGATGAATCCGCGAGGATATCCATCCAGGACTCATGATCCAGGACCACAGCAACAGGATCAGCCACGACTCAGGATCCCGGTGTAGATAGACACCAAAAATAAATTTGGGGAAGCTGGGTTATTCGGAACATGAGAGTACACAGGTACAGACAGAGAGAAGGAAGAAGTAAGGTGTCCCCCGACAATCTAAGCCTATAGCAGCAAAACTAGGGGCTGAATCTAATCAGCCCTAATGTTTCCAGGTCCAGGAAACGCCCCTGCTGGAGAGCACGTGTTTAAAAAGCAGGAAATTAAAAAAGGAACTCACCTTGTGGTAAACCCGCAAGAGAAAAATTATTTGAGCTCCATACTGTTTCAGAAATAATCCTTGATGTGGTTTAGAACAGGATGGCGTTTTATCAAAGCAGGATTTCACTTTATCTCCGGTAGAATTCTGATCAGGCATTAGCTCCGTCTCCTCTTTTTTTTTTTTTCAAGTTAAGGACCCAAAATCCGCTTTTCTCTAACAGGGCTGGAATAGAGGGATATGAGGGACGTCTAAAATGCATGATCTGTTTGTATTTTGAGCAAAACATATAGACATTTTACTTAAAGACTTCTTAAAGGTGGGGTAGGTAAGAATGGAGAAACCAGCTCGAGTGCGCTAGAATTTGAAAATACACAACCGGAAAAAATCTGCCTCTTCCTTCAGACTTCCTTACAGAGCCCCTCCTCCAACACACACGAACGCGCACATGACCAATGAGGGCACGAGATAAGTTTGTGCACAGATGGAAGGCGGACAGGCAGGTAGGCCATCCAGTTATTTTAGCCGGGCCGGCTCAGATGATTGGTCGTGCTTTTTACAGTACTACGGCTTCCACAGATGAATTTTTTTTATGTATTTATTGTCAAAGCATTTCATGTATTCATTGCTATCGGGATGTTAAGAGCATTCCATGGAATATAACAGAAAGTGTTTCTGAAGTGAATTACATACCCCACCTTTAAGTTGATATAAATATCTTTATTTTCTTTCATCGCACATTATTACTTTACTTATCTATGTTTATACTGTATACATATTTTGGGTCCTTTTAAAATTATTATAAAATTATTATAAACTTATTTTATTTTATTTATTTTATACTGAATAAGAAAACTGCCACAAACATTTCCCCCGGGATATATAAAGTAATTTAATAATATTATTAATTCCAGTTGTCCATTTTTCTGTACAGTATACCACTAGGTGTCAGTGTTGAGCCATTTTCAGGAACTCTTTGTAAAATAAGATGGACCTTCATTGAACCCTGTAGTGAAATTCAGGAGTCATAGAAGAACAGAAATATAAATTGTAAATAATACCAGTACATTTTTTAACCGCCTAGAATAAAAAAAGGAAAGTTACACATGTTTTCAGAAAGAGCAAAAGAGAACATTATTTTTATAAGGCAGAAACGTGTGTTCGATTAACATGTGTAAAATCGATAGTAGATTAAAACACATGGTTACCTGAAAATGAGCACCAGATATTAAACGGTGAGTGTTGAATCATGGCAAATCATTTATTAAACATCAATGAATTCATTCATTTTAATGAGACCTTTTATTTTTGAATTCTTGTGTTAACATAGATATATTTTAGCACACATTCTTACTAAAAATTATTATATTTTTATAAATAACTTACTTTCAATAATAATACATTTGTGTTATCATTATTACTATCATTATCATTTTTATAATTTTTATTTATTTTGCATTATCATCATTATTGTTATTATTATTATCTTTTTTTATTTCATTCTTAAATGGAGCAATTGTCACAAAATGTTCCCTAAGATAAATAAACTGTTCTGATTCTGATATTGAAAACAAATAGATAAATCAGGCTGTGTGCTGTGTGATGGTCCTTACTCATTTAAAATATTTGATGTCTTGTATTTGTGTATCTTGTGCAGATCTACCGCTCCAGCAGCGAGGAGCCGTGTCTGGACGTCTCTCATGAGAAAACAGTGAAGGACCTGATGGACACCACCGTCCAATCAGAGAGCAGAGCAGAGAGACAGTGGATCTACCACACACACACACACACACACACACACACACACACACACACACACACACACACACACACACACACACACACACACACACAACACACACACACACACACACACACACACACACACACACCTATGTTAAGCCATCGTTCTTTACAATCGTGTGTGTGTGGTGTGTGTGTGTGTGTGTGTGTGTGTGTGTGTGTGTGTGTGTGTGTGTGTGTGTGTGGTGTGTGTGTGTGTGTGTGTGTGGTGTGTGTGTGTG